GCATTTCGCTACACCCGCAATAACATCTGCTAAACACATGTATGTGACCAATAACATTTGATTTGATTTTAATATCATTATTCTCCCTGAACAGGGTTAGAATAGCATTTGTTTCTGATGAGTAAGCGAGGGGAAGAGGGTGGCTGTTTGTTTCACTTGATATCATTATAAGACAGTTCCATTGAGTCACACTGTAGGGCCCAGTGGGAGCATCCTGCTGCCTGGAGATTGGCTGAGATGCCATGTCTTCTAAGGAAAGAACATTGCCAAGTTAATGAGGTATAGAGATGGAGCATAATTTACTAGTGCATGCACCACACAGAGTCAACTGACTGCATATCACTGTCTTGTCTCTGTTGTGTAAAGCAACATAATGCTCCATAAAATGCAGTCTTTTGTCATTGTATCTTCATTTATTCTGAGGTTTGCCTGTCTTGGACCTATTGAGCAAATACTTTATGTTGCTTATACAGTAGGGTATGTTGGTTGTGTAGTAGCCTAGACTACAGTGTAGATGTTTGGATCTCTGGCAGCAGATCTGATGTGACAGACAGGCTGATGATGAGGAGCAGAAAGTCTTCGAGCACTATCCTCCTCTCCCTATCTTCCGCCAGTTCATCATAGATCTCCTTGTACTTTGACTTCAACTCCTGACCCTGCAAGAGATGACAAAATGCTAACATTATTGAACATGCTGGAACACCCTCTGTCGTAAATAAATCAATGATGTTCCTTAAGTGAATTTAGGAGATTAGGCCTATATGATTTGCTACATTTCTGTCCAGTCATTACAGTGTTTACACTGTCACAGATGTCTCTCACTGGATATAATTATTTTACCCTGACACAGACACACCCTGACAGCCAAGAATACACATGTTCTATTCTATGCATATTCTATACATAGTCTCGGATGTCAGGGTGTGTTGGGATAAAATAGTGATATCCAGAGAGAGACATCAGTCTTGTGTGATGGAGAGAAGAGGCTGCAGAGAGGAGTTAAGGCCTCTTGGCTGGTGTGTATTGGTCCTGCTCTTAATGGCCACAGCCTATTGGCGCAGAGAGACAAGCACAGATACAGACGCCACACAGCAGCACACTGCAGTTAGTCAGGAAGGCCATGCTACTAGCTCAGTGTGCCCTGATCCAAAACCCCTCCAGAGAGATGCAGTGCACCTCCACAACCACAGGAGGGCTCTCTGATGCCTTGATGATGATGGTGGTCAGAGTGTAGTCACTCGATAGCCATACTAGAATGGACCTAAGATTTTAGTACAGTAGTCTGAACTGATGAGAAAATACAGGAGCTCAACTGGAGTCAAATTCTTTTGAGTCGAGAAATTGTATGGTACAAATATGAAATTAAGGTAGAAAAGCTTTCCCAAAAAGAATGTGTCTGGAGAAATCCAAGAAACTGGTAAAAGGACTTTAGTGCTGTGAGTGAAGGGCTGTAGTCATGTGCCCTCTATTTCCTTACCCCGGTAGAAGCCTGAAACTGTGAGTAATTTCTCTTACCCTGGTAAAAGGCTGAAACTGGGTGAGTACATCTATACTGAACAAAAATATAAACGCAACATGCAACAATTTCAACGATTTTACTGAGTTACAGTTCATATGAAGAAATCAGTCAATTGAAATTAATTAATTAGGTCCTAATCTATGGATTTCTTATGACTGGGAATACAGATATGCATCTGTTGGTCACAGATACCTTAAATGATATGGGCCTCACAATGGACCTCAGGATCTCGTCACGGTATTTCTGTGCATTCAAATTGCCATCGATAAAATGCAGTTGTGTTTGTTGTCCATAGCTTATGCCTGCTCATACCATAACCCCACTGCCACCATGGGGCACTCTGTTCACAACATTGACATCAGCAAACCATTCGCCCACATGACGCCATACATGTGGTCTGCAGTTGTGAGGCCGGTTGTACGTACTACCAAATTCTCTAAAACGACGTTGGAGGCGGCTCATGGTGGAGAAATGAACATTAAATTCTCTGTCAACAGCTCTGGTGGACATTTCTGCAGTCAGCATGCCAATTGCATGCTCCCTCAAAACTTGAGACATCTGTGGCATTGTGTTGTGTGACAAAACTGCACATTTTAGAGTGGCCTTTTATTGTCCCCAGAACAAGGTGCACCTGTATAATGATCATGCTGTTTAACCAGCTTCTTGATATGCCACACCTGTCAGGTGGATAGATTACCTTGGCAAAAGAGAAATGCTCACTAACAGGGATGTAAACAAATTTGTGCACAACAAACAAGGGACCAACACTTTACATGTTGTGTTTATATTTTTGTTAAGTGTAATTACCCTGGCAAATGCCTGAAACTGTGAATAACCTCTCCCTGACCACTTCTCTGTTGACCCGGCAGAGCTGTAAAAGAGCAGCACAGAGAGAGACCCAATAATAAATAAATAAATTCAGATGCAGCAATAAAAGCACATAAGCTTACAGTAGCTGAGTGACAACGAGGCAGCGACCATACTGTACCTACCTTCAATGGAGGACAGCTGTTTGGACACTTTAACCCTGTTTCAACGAACCAGGAGCAAATAGTACTAAGCAAACTGATAGCAATGGCAATCTCCCACATAGTCTGACTTGGACACTACTGTATGCTATTAGAAACTGGTATAGAAAGGTTAACATGTAATGGTCCAATAGGTTCACATACCTGTTCGACACCTTAGAAGCTGGATTGACTATTGTTTGAAATCCTATTTGACTTGTGTTCTTTGGTTTGATGTTGAACCACCCAAATTAACAGGAAGCTTTAGTGTCACTTGGCAACAGGTGTTCTTAGGCAAACATTAGCCTTACTGTGACCAAGCCCCCTGCGCGCTTAGGTGCTGTTTGTTAGGGCCAAAGTAATACAGTCAATCTGAGCTCCAGATTGGATCATCTTAAATACAGAAGTGCTGTTCCCTGAGAATAGCAATGAGGAATCTCTGTTGTCAGGTCAGATGCTAATTGTTAGATTCCCAAGTTAAACTAATAAATGCAGCCAGATACCTTTCATTCCAAAGCTTGGGGACAAATGACTGCTGGACTCAATACCCACGGATTCCTGTCTGCTGATTCAGGACTCAATACGCAGGGATTCCTGTCTGCTGATTCAGGTTCAGTGGACACTGATCATTTAGTTTGAGACATAAAGTCTGGGTTTAGGTTTCTTTGCTTGCTTGCTAGCAGAATTCCTTCACTCTGGTGAGGGTAAACAAAGGGCCACATACTTAACTGCCTGCCTCTCTCTGGGAAACGCTGTTTCTGCTCAACCATCTGATAGATGCTGATGGCCCATCCTCCCATCCCTATGGTAACCAAGCTGAGGTGTGTTTAAAGGTGGTGCTCTACCTGGGCACGTAGTGGTTCCTGGGGCATTGTGTTGGGGCAGGGTAAGGGGTGAATCAGGTACCTCTGTGCTGGAGTTAGCCTGGCCCATTAGGGATACTGCTAATAAAGATGTTGGACAAATCCATATTCATGGTGTGTTCTCTTTCTCTCTCTCAGGCATTTGCACAAAGAGTGCCTTTGGGAACATGTGTGCCATTGCCATGTTCCCAAAGGCACTCTTTGTGCAAATGCCTGAGAGAGAGAAAGAGAACACACCATGAATATGGATTTGTCCAACATCTTTATTATCATTATTCAAAATGCTTGTAAAATATCATCCACACTCAGTAATCATAAACAGATTACAAATACTGGTAAATGGTTTTCAAATTGTTCAAATTATAATAATGTTACACAGACAGAAGAGCAAGTACAAAAAAAAAATATTCTCCATAAAAAAAAAAAGAAAAGCCACATGCTTTGGAGCTCAAGACACAGGGTTAATTCATTATCATCATCAAGATCAGACATAGTCTCATCAGTGTTATTTTTATTCATTGCACAAAATGTCCAAAGTTGTACAAACCTGAATTACTATGTTTATAGAATTCAAGACAGAGAAAACATGACAGATAATGGTTATACAGACAAGCTTGGCTGAGCTCACTGTTCTAATTGCAACTAGGTTCTTCTGGCCCTTTTTCACTGGGGCCTTGTGCTTAAATGGAGTCAGCTAGCTAGCTCTAGGATGTGTATGAAATTATTATTTATTTCACATTAGTCTGAGCACAGCATAAAACACGGTTGCTTTCATTTGAATCAAGAGCGACCATTTGTAAACAGAGTGGGTACAAACACTTTTCCCATTTACAATTGTTAACACCAACATCAAAAACTCCTTTATGAGCAAGGGCATCTTGTGTAATGAAAGGTAACTATATGGCAGACAGAGAGCAATTCTTCCTTTGTGCAGTGAAATGAAACTTGATACAATTTAACTAATCATTCTAAATATTAAAAATAATAGCACATTTTTATCAAAATATATACTATAAAGGATGTCTTGAAAAAAGATAAATCAATACAAGCTATGAAATAAAATTAGAATAATGATGCAGTGGAATAAACTACTGCTGTTACCTTGCTGTAACTCTGAGTTGAAATCCTGCCGGTTTCATAATTAGAATGTGCACAAACAGGCATAGAAACACATGGACAACTTCATGCACCTTGTCAAGACTATATAGGAAACTTCAAGAATTATACAATTGTAGACGACATTTCGCTTTCACCACAGTGCAAACCAGTTTGAAAAAGACGTCTAGTTAAAAAGGTCTGTGGCATTGCACCTAGCACAGAAAAAGAGAAACTGTAAACCGACTCAAACCACAGGCAATACAACATTCAGGAAAACAACACATCTAAAATCGTAACCAAAATCTAGATTTTATACAATACTTCAAAATACAACGCATGTAACTGTATCAATCGACAACTTACCTTTTCTGGCACCAGAATATTTTTACCTAAGAATTAAGGTAATTTGGAGAAATTTGGGCAATCTTTTTTATGTTTTCGCACAAACAGGACACCAACATTGTGATGCATCAGAGGATCAAACTGAGCTAGCCCCTCATGCCCCCTCCCTCCCTTCAACCCCTTCCTTCCTTAACCCCTGATTTAACTTTCCCTTATAGAACGCTGATGTGCCAATCAGACTGCAAGGCTACATCTGATTGGAGTAGGAGGTGGGTCCGCCCACAGGACTGTATTCTGACGCCTGCTCCCGGTCTCCCTGGGCAGTGTAGCCTCCTGACTGGTCGAAGCTGCCCTGGTTGTAGGGCTGCTGCTGGTTGAAGGTCACAGCCTGTTTTTCGGGCGGCGCTCCAGCGTACCGAGCAGGTCCTCCCTTATGCCAGCCAGTCTCCTTGAAAACAAACCAGATGTTTCCTGCCCACAGGACGAAGTTTAGGAAGCCAAACACCTGGGGAGAGACAGAGTATATCACAACAAAACAAACCATAGATGTGGTGTGTGTGTTGTAATGTGGTAGTGTGTGGTTCACAGTCTGACGTACCACAGAGGTGTTGAGGCCTGACCAGTGGGGTCCTTGCACTGAGCCACACTTGTTGGTCATGACCTTACAGGCAGACATGAGCTCCTGCACCTCATCTGGGTCTGTGGCCACCTTGACGTCCGACAAGGCCTGAGCCCAGGCCGAAGAACTGACCAGCCACATGAAGGCGAACACCACGGTCACTATGAAGTCCTGAGAGGGGAGGGGGACGTGTTACTGAATAGTGATCAAGTTACTATTTGCACAACCAGCAGATGTCAAAGGTGCAGGGACTGGGTACAGTATACAAAATATATTGCAGCATGGAAGCATTATAAACACATAGCATGCTATCTTATTCAAAAGGAGATATAATCCGTGGAGGTTTGAACACAGAGAAGGTGAGCAGCTCACGATGAGAGGGCCTCGGTTGTTCTCGCGGTACTTGATCTGGAAGAAGATGTAGACTATGGTGGCCATGAGGGAGTAGAGGAAGGCAAACACAGCGATAGTGACGAAGAACTCAGCCGAGGAAGAGTAGTCCCCAATGAGGAAGAGCCTCTCCCTCCTCCTCCCATCACATAGCGGCGCCTCGAAGGACACCTGGTGCAACCTGACACAGAGTGGAGAAAAGAGGAGTATAAAACACCTGTAGCCACTCTTTAAATAATGGAGAGAATACGTCTGTTAAAAGACATCAAATGACTGCTGATTCTCTTATTTCGTGTGTCTCAAGTGAATATTATCAAAGCTACTACTGACAGCATTTTAGACATCTTGTCTGGTGCTAATCACTATCACTTTGTTTGGCTGCATAATAGCTTTCAGAGTGCCACACAGATGGATCTTAATTGGCTTGACTAAATCTTCCATATGGTGTTAGAAACTATATCTGAAATTGTCTCAATTATTAACCCGCTAGGCTGGTGTTGAAACGCACATGCGTGCACACACACACACGCACACAAACACAAACACACACAGAAACACAGACAACAAAGGAATGTTTATGAGGAGCAACAGAGTTGGAGATGATGACTCCTATTCTCTTTGGTTCATTAATGAACATTCATGGGGCTGCGCTGGAAATGGAGAAAAAATACCTCTAACCCAAATGTGCTCGTATTTGTCCTTGAGTTGCATTACTATTATGTGTCTGAAATGTTACTAGAAAGAGTTTCTTACCTAAAAGGATAAGCAAAATCGATGCCAATACTGAGGTTGCTGCTGGCCTTGTCAAGCTGACAGTCCACACTAACCCGCAGCTGTCCACTGTAGCCTCCACATGTTGCAAATGCAAAAATGGCAAAAAGCTGTTGAGAGACATACAAACAAAAACAACAAAATTATCGAATTGTAACTCTGTTAAGGAGTAATTAGCCTGACCATTTAAAGGCCCAATGCATGTGTTTTTTTTTATCTCAATATCAAATAATTTCTGCTTCACAATTATGTACATGCACCTTACTGTAATAGTTTTCCATTAAAATTGTCAAAAAGAAACAATATTAGCTGTTTAGCAAAGAACAATTACACAAGCAAGAATTTAGCTAAGAGTCTGGTCTGAGTGAGGGCCCTAATGGGAGGGATATGTAACCTGAAAACTAGCTGTTTTTGGCAGAGAGGATTGGAACTCTCTTTATTGGTCTATTAAAGGCCCAGTGCAGTCAAAAATGAGACTGTGTTTTATATACATTTCCACACTATGAGGTTGGAATAATACTGTGAAATTGTGAAAATTATGGTAATGTCCTTTTAGGGTAAGAGCTGTTTGAAAAGACCGCCTGAAATTTCTGCCTGTTTTGGTGGGATGGAATTTTGGCCTGCATGGTGACATCACCAGGTGGTAAATTAGTTAATAGACCAATAAGACAGAGAGTTCCAAACCTCTATGCCAATAACAGCTCGTTTTCCATTTTCCTCTCCCCACTCAGACAACTCCCAGACAGTCCTAGCAAATTTCTTGCTTGAGAAATGGCTCTTTGCTAAGAAGATATTATTGTTTCTTATTGACAATTTTTATTGAAAACAATCACAGTAAGGCACTTAATTGTTAAAAGGATACTTTGGGATTTTGGCAATGAGGCCCTTTATCTACTTCCCCAGAGTCAGATGAACTTGTGGATACCATGTTTATGCCTCTGTGTCCAGTATGAAGGAAGTTAGAGGTAGTTTCAGGAGCCAATGCTAACTAGCGTTAGCGCAATAACTGGAAGTCTATGGATATCTGCATGCCGCTAACGCTAGTTAGCATTGGCTTGCGAAACTCCATGAGTTCATCTGACTCTGGGGAAGTAGATAAAGGGCAGCTCTAATCCCTCCCAATTATTTTGTTGGTCTTCCGGCAGGCAAAGCAGTGATCAATTTCAATTAGGCCCCCTCCCACACACACAGGTAATTAATATCCAGCACCACTTTCTCTGTGGTGGATTCTCCCTGCAGAGTTAGACTAAGAGGCAGTGACATGGCTACGGCTACCAACAGCAATCTCTGGAGTACACAACCACCAAAGAGTGAGACAGGTTGAGAGAGAGAGAAAGACAGAGAGATAGCGAGAGAGAGAGAAGATAAACTATTTTCAACGTGAGTGGCCTCTGTAAGTTACAGGCCTGATGAAGCACATTAGCCAAGGACTGAGAACAGAATGGGCTCATACTGAGATGTTAGGCCTCTCACCGCCCGCTTGCCCGTACAGCAGATTGAGCTTGCTTTTTATGCAATGTGCGGAGAATGAAAAATACAAAAGCAAAGTCTCATCACGAGTGGGAATTAGATTTTAGTAGATGACTGTCACGATCGTTTACTGAAGATACGGACCAAGGCGCAGCGTGATAAGCGTACATTTTATTAAGTACTTAACACACGACAAAACAACAAACAAACGAAACGTGAAGTCCTAGGTTACACAAAACAAACCTCAACGGAACAAGATCCCACACGACTAGTGCCAAACAGGCTGCCTAAGTATTGTCCCCAATCAGAGACAACGAGTTACAGCTGCCTCTGATTGGGAACCACCCTGGCCAACATAGATCCACATGATCTAGAAAACACAACATAGAAAATACAACATAGAAACTCTACACCCTGGCTCAACATTTAAGAGTCCCCAGAGCCAGGGCATGACAGTACCCCCCCCAAAGGCACAGACTGCGACCGCGCCACACAAACACAACAGGGTAGGGGCCGGGTCGGCATTCCGCCTCGGAGGCGGATCCGGCTCCGGGCGTGACCACCACTTTCTCTCCACCTCCCCGTTGCGCCCCTGGTCTGGTCTGGCACCGCTGACTGGAGCTGGACCCGACGACGGTGGATCGATCTGTACAGGCTCCGGACTGGAGCCGCTGGCCGGAGCTGGACTGGGCACCGGTGGAGCGGATTGCTCTGGCTCCGGAGTGGATCCGCTGACTGGAGTTGGACCGGACCCTGGTGGAGCGGATTGCTCTGGCTCCGGAGTGGCGCAGCTGACCGGTGCCGGACGAGGCACCGGTGGAACAGGCACTGGCCGTGCCGGACTGGACACACTGGCTTGGTGCGGGGCGCAGGAACGGGCCGGACCGGGCTGATGACGCGCACCACTGGCTTGGTGCGGGGAGCAGGAACGGGCCGGACCGGGCTGACGACGCGAACCACTAGCTTGGTGCGGGGAGCAGGAACGGGCCGCACCGGGCTGACGACGCGCACCACTGCCTTGGTGCGGGGAGCAGGAACGGGCCGGACCGGGCTGACGACGCGCACCACTGGCTTGGTGCGGGGAGCAGGAACGGGCCGGACCGGGCTGACGACGCACACCACTGGCTTGGTGCAGGGAGCAGGAACAGGCCGGACCGGGCTAGCGACGCGCACCACTGGCTTGGTGCGAGGGGCAGGAACAGGCCGGACCAGGCTGGCGACGCGCACCACTGGCTTGGTGCGAGGGGCAGGAACAGGTCGGACCGGGCTGGCGACGCGCACCACTGGCTTGGTGCGAGGGACAGGAACAGGCCGGACCGGGCTGGCGACGCGCACCACTGGCTTGGCGCTAGGGACAGGAACAGGCCGGACCGGACTGGGAACACGCACCACTGGCTTGGTGCGGGGAGCAGGAACAGGCCGGGCTGGACTGGGAACACGCACCACTGGCTTGGTGCGGGGAGCCGGAACGGGCCGGGCCCGGACTGTGGAGGCGGACTGGAGGTCTGGAGCGGAGAGCTGACACAACCTGTCCTGGCTGAATGCCTACTTCCACACAATATGTGTGAGGCATCAGCACAGGAAGTACGGGGCTGTGCACTCGTACTGGCGCTACAGCACGTGGCACTGGCGCAGGATATACGGGACCGAGGAGGCATACTGGAGACCACGAGCGTTGAGCCGGCACACCCCGTCCTGGCTGAATGCCCATCTTTGCACGACACGTGCGTGGTGCTAGCACAGGACGTACAGGACTGTGCCGGAACACTCGCGGCACAGTACGTGGCTCCGCATAACACGGAGCCTGCCCAGTCACACGCTTCCTAGCCTGAGTACGGGGAGTTGGCTCTGCTCTAACCCTAGGCTCCGCCAACCACCCTTTTAGCCCCCCCCAAAAAAAAATATTGGGGCTGTCTCTCGGGCTTCCTCCTCGGGCGGTACTCTCTGCGTTGCCGCTGCTCCTCTCTATAGCCGCTGCTCCTCTCTACAGTCTCCTCCCAAGGACGGTGATCCATTCCGGCCTGAATCTCCTCCCAAGTCCAGGATCCCTTCCCGTCCAGGATCTCCTCCCAGGTCCAGGCTGTCTGTTCCTGGACACGCTGCTTGGTCCTCTTTTGGTGGGATCTTCTGTCACGATCGTTTACTGAAGATACGGACCAAGGCGCAGCGTGATAAGCGTACATTTTATTAAGTACTTAACACACGACAAAACAACAAACAAACGAAACGTGAAGTCCTAGGTTACACAAAACAAACCTCAACGGAACAAGATCCCACACCGACTAGTGCCAAACAGGCTGCCTAAGTATGGTCCCCAATCAGAGACAACGAGTTACAGCTGCCTCTGATTGGGAACCACCCTGGCCAACATAGATCCACACAATCTAGAAAACACAACATAGAAAATACAACATAGAAACTCCACACCCTGGCTCAACATTTAAGAGTCCCCAGAGCCAGGGCGTGACAATGACTCAGATGCCAATGTTCCATTATGAAACAAACAGACACAGGAGTATTATTAACACTTGGACCTGGACCATTCCAGCAAGGATAATAGGGTATCATCATGCTGCATAAAAAACAGCTGACAATATAAATCGCTCAAATCAGCTATCTGCGCCTTCAACCTGTTCCCCATTCTCACTGAGAGTAGCTATAGTTCCAGACATGTCAGGTGTCTGGACACATAACATGCAATAACAAAATACATTAGGTGTCTTTAACAAGACACCCATATCGCAGAGGGCAGTCATTAGTACTGTACTGACAGACTGAAGAGAGTGCAAAGTCAATGTGACAGAAACATCCTCTGTATTCCTCTTGTGCTCCACTTGGCATGCCCACAATAGGACCACAGCTTCTCCTCTCCCAGGGGTCACTGCTGAGACTGTAGATCCATCTCTGAAAAACGACTAGTGCTATGGAGACATGCATACACTGCCACACATACACATGACATAACATGCATACGCACATACATCAACAAACAAACACACACACACACACTTGTCCAGTCTGTTGGCTGAAATATATATCAGGTTTGTTTGTATGGGGATCCTCCAAACAGAGCTTGAGAGATAGTTCACATGCTGCAACTGAGCCAAACACTCCACCACCATGAGAACTAGGAGACGCAGATTCACATGTATAAGCACTACTCATACATAGTCTCATTTTCAGCCCCCCACCCAGAGCTCTGGGAGCAGTAATAGTTATCATTAGCAAGGACATAATATAATGTTACTGTACAGACTGAATTTGTCACGACTTCGGCCGAGGCTGCCTCCCCTCCTTGTTTGGGCAGGCTTTGGCGTTCGTCGTCACCAGCTTACTAACCACTGCCGCCCCAATCATCATCACCTTTGTCTTGTCTTGTCAATCACACACACCTGGTTCTAATCCCCTCATTAGTCCGTGTATAAGTGTTCCGTCTGCCCCCTTGTCCTTGTGGGTTATTGTTATTTGTGAGAGTAGTGTAGCTCGGTGGAGCTACTCGTAAATTTTGTTGCCAGGGTAGATTTTCCCCTGTGCCTATGTATTATTGGATTCTACCGTTACAGTGTATTTGCCAGGGATGAGAGTTTCCCCTGTGCCTGTGTCGTTGATCGCTATTTGAGCGCATTTGTGTGTCCACGAAGGAATAAACACTGCGCCTGACTCCTTCCATCACACTCATCACAGAAT